CCCCCCTCGCCCACAGGTGGCTTTGTGCTGCACCTGGAGACAGACTGCCTCCTCTCGGCCGACGGGCAGCTCCTCGAGCCCATCTGGACGCTCCTCTTCAACAAGATGCCCTTGACCTGCTTCGACTTCCGGAACGGGACGTTTGTGCCCTGCGTCCTGGGGGCCTCCTACCCCTGGAACTATACCGGGGTGCCCGTCGCCCAGTGGCTCATGGAAACCTACCCACAGCTGCCAGTAGAAGCCGCCCAGAATTGCCAGCAGCAGGGCCAGGCGCTCTGGGCACAGACGGGGGACAGGCAGAGTGAGTGGGGGGTGGGGAGATCGGAGCATTTGAAGCGGGGAGGGGCTTCCGAGGGAAGAGGGGAGGAGATCAGTGGGGGTCAGAGAGAGAGAGAGAGAGAGGGCAGGGAAGGAGGGAGGGAGGAAGGGAAGGAGAGAGGGACTGAGAAAAAGGGAGAGAGAAAGAGGGAGGGAGAAGGAGGGAGAGGGAGGGAGAGGGAGGGAGGAGGAGAGGGAGAAAGATAGAGGGAGGGAGAAAAAGGGAGGGAGAAAGGGAGGGAGAAGGAAGGAGAGGGAGGGAGAGAGGGATTGAGGGGAGGGGGAGAAAGAGGGAGAGGAAGAGAGGGAGTGGGAGGGAGGAGGAGGAGGGAGAAAGATAGAGGGAGAGAGAAGGAGGGAGAAAGAGGGAGGGAGAAGAAGGGAGAGGGAGGGAGAAAGGGATTGAGGGGAGGGGGAGAAAGAGGGAGAGAGGGAGAGGAAGAGAGGGAGTGGGAGGGAGGAGGAGAGGGAGAAAGATAGAGGGAGAGAGAAAAAGGGAGGGAGAAAGAGGGAGGGAGAAAGAGGGAGAGGGAGGGAGAGAGGGATTGAGGGGAGAGGGAGAAAGAGGGAGAGGAAGAGAGGGAGTGGGAGGGAGGAGGAGGAGTGAGAAAGATAGAGGGAGAGAGAAAGAGGGAGAGCGGGGGAGAGGGCCCAATCCAGCCTCCACCTGTCCATCTTCCTTCCTCAGCTCCACCAAAGGTCCTAATTTCCCCGGTGACCCCTCGGAACACTCCGTATCCCATCATGCTGGCCTGCCTGGCCTGGGGCTTTTACCCGGGGGACGTCAACCTCACCTGGCTCTGGAACGGGCAGCCCGTCCGGGACCACCTGGACCCCGTGCAGGTCACCAGCAACGGAGACTGGACCTTCCAGGCGCGGCTGACGCTGCCGGTCGACCCCGAGAAAGGGGGCAGCTACACCTGCGCCGTGCAGCACTCCAGCCTCCCTGCGCCCCTCACGGCCGAATGGGGTGAGTGAGACGGGGGGGGGACACGACACACCACCCTTCCTGTCAGCTGCCCTGGAAAGGGGGGCCTCTGTCCAGGTGCAGAGTTCTCCTCTCGCAGGGCGTTGCAGGGACCTGCCCGGGAATGGAGGCCCCCCCCCGAACTGCGAGCCTCGCTTGGGAGCGCCCCTCCTGGTGACATCGGAAGAGCTTGTGGGACTCTCCCCCACTGGGGGCCTGAGGGGAGTGGGGGCGGGCAGGGAGCGGGAATCAGCCTTCAGAGGCCTGGACTCAATTCCCAGAATCCCTCGGGGGAGGGAGGGGCCTGTGTGGCGGCTGCAGCACTCTGGGAGTTGAAGTCCTTGCACCTCAATGGTGTCCTACGTCAGGGGTCCCCAACCACCGGTCCCCCGGACCGGTCCGTGGAACAATTTCCTACCGGGCCGCCGGTTTGCTGGGCGCTGCCATCTTGTTTTGATGAAAAAAGTGCTTCCGGGTGAGCTTTTCCGGGTAGAAAGCGGCGTTTGGGTGCTGAAGGAATCCTCGCGCCTTAGTTTCATCGAAGTGGGGGGGCGGCTTCGAACGAAACTAAGGCGCCAGGATTCTTTCAGCACGCGTGGCAAGGCGAGCCGAGCAACCGTCGCGAAGCCGTCGCGAAGTCCATCGACACGGGTACAAAGGAGGAGTTGAAGGTGGCGGGGAGAAGCGGGGGACGTCCGGCTGGCCGGTCGCTCGGCTCGCCTTGCCATGCTTGCTTGATGCCGGTACCGGGCCATGAGGATGATTTTTGTGAAGCCGCTAGCGGGCCGCGGATGATTTTTGTGATGCCGCTACCGGACCGCGGATGATTTTTGTGAAGCCGCTAGCGGGCCGCGGATGATTTTTGTGATGCCGCTACCGGTCCACGGATGATTTTTGTGTGATGCCGCTACCAGGCTGCGAGGATGATTTTTGTGATGCCGCTACCGGGCCGTGGATGATTTTTGTGACACCGCTACCGGGCCACGGATGATTTTTGTGATGCCGCTACCGGTCCGCGGATGATTTTTGTGATGCCGCTACCGGACCGCGGATGATTTTT